GACATGTTACAGTTCAGACGTAGATAATGTCGCTTCCGTCTGTCTCCCATAAACATTGATTGTTCTATTAATATTCAAAGCCAAGAAAATTTCACGTTCCAAACGTCTGGACCACATCTATATCGGAAACTACTTACATCAATCTGCATTTAAAATAAACGAACGTTCAGGGTTAAGGTCTCTCTTTATACCTTCATCTTCATAAACTTCTTCGTCTTCATTTCCTGAATTTTGATTGAAGTTTAATTTGTTTTCTACTGAAGTATTTCTATTGCTTGTCTTGTCATCTTGTTTCTTTGTTCGTCATGCCAAGTTTATGTTGACAAAAATTATCGTCTCTGTTGATCTAGGTCAGGGTTGGTGTTGGCGGAAGTATGTTCTGTTTCTGGTGTGCTTGTGTGAATTAGGATGGTTTTTAGTCCATTAGAAGTGTAATAAGTTCCATTAGGAATTTCTTTCTTTTGACTACCTTAGAAATTGTCTTGTAGAATCGTTGCTTTATTTTCTGTCTACTCTTTTCCCATAACTGTCTGACCTAGTTGGAAAGACTGTATAATTATCCATCTGTTACATTCGTCTTCCTTCATTTCATTCCTTTGCGTTGGATTTTTACCGAAACAGCAAAATCCATCCTTACCATCAACGAAACACGGTTACTTTTAAATAGTATCAATGTTTATAGCCACAGCAGGTTGACGACCTACCTTAAAGAAATCAGGCCACTTTCGCCATCTGTATCCCTATCTTTATGAAGACCCGGTTCACGGCTAAGGTCACAGATAAGAGCCTAGATACTGCCAAGGCCCATCATATAGATAGCATTGCACTTTAGTAGACGTAAAATTCAAGGTGAGGTTATATTGGTCATTTTTATATTGAATATGTGCTGCCATCTGTTGATTGAAACTGTTTGAAAGCTTTTGAAGATGTCTTGCGTTGAATAGAAATGTGTATTGAAAGGAAATTCGTGTATAAGGGCCTGTCTACATTTTTTTATGCAGGAGTAATATGTGGTCGGTAAACTTTTCGGTAGTATAGACATATTTTGTGATGCATAAGTTTAAAATGTATTGTAATTATTTTAACATTGTATATTCAATGTTTTGAGCAATATTCTGTACTAATCATCGTCAGTATGACTATCAACGTCACTAAAAGAGGTACCTAATACAATTTCATTTAATTTGAACAAATAATTTTATGTAAATTGTAATTGTACAATATTACTAAGTAACCACTAATCCTATATGAGGTCAGTGACTCATGTTTCCACCTTATAGCTTATCAAGAATGACGCGACGCTGCGTCTAAGCAACTCACAAACACTAAACAACTTGAATCGTATTTGTCAAATTCCTTGCAAGTACCTATGAATAATTCAGTTTTCTTGGGAATTCTATTCATACATTACTTTGTCTGAATCTGAAATATTGTCTGACCTATATAACATGAATATAACACATTCATTCATTGTTTGTGAAAGATTTTTCATGAAAATGAAGTTAATGGCCTTATAAAATGCAGTGTGGACGTTAAAATTTAATTTGTAGGTTAGTGTCTCAACTTTTGATGTGCAATTAAAATGTCTCTTTCATCATTCTAATGTTATTTCTTGTGTTCGACACTGGTCCGAAATCCGCACCAGATGATGGATCATTTGGATATGTCGATAAAACTGTCTGTAAACTACGAAGGACCTAACGGGTAACCGGGGCTCCGGCTCGACGTGCAGGACAAGAAACGGGGTAGTTTTTAGTCAGTAAGAGTCTGACACTCCCTCCTGCCTCACCCAGGCGGGAGCAGTCATTCAAAGATTCAAATTCAATTCAAAAAATAGGTACAGTAATCACGCCTACATATTTACCACAACAACTACGGAGCTCGCTTGTCCAGAATTAAGAAAAATCGTCTCGCCTTTAACAAACATAGGAGTATTCCTTTCAACGTGTACTGTTTATGAACCCTTTAGGATTTTTACAGTCATCAATCGGCAAATAATACATACCTTGAGTGGATATATCGTCGTCATTGTCATCATCAACAGCCTATAGTTTTCGTGGACATCCATACTTGTATTGTAACGTAACTATAGTGAGACATACGAAATAAATTATTATGTTTTCGGCTCATGTTTACATCCATACTCGTTACTGACTTCCATTATCATTGATTTTAAGTTTCTTTCTTTCTTAAGAAAAATCCAAGTACACCATTCCAGTGCCTTTAGCCAAACGCCACTTTAGCGCTTGTCTACAGAGAGAGTAGAAATCAAAATGTATAGGGATGACACTGACAAGTGTCAAAATTTACATCAATTTTATATAATTTGGTTTTCTATTCTACATGTAGACAAGCGCTAAGTGGCACTTCGCTACAGAGTCACCGCTCACAAGTTCCAGAAAGTAGTTTCAATCCAGACAATAATAACTTCTTAAACCACTACTTATTCCTGTCTCCTTATTCATCCCACTTATCCTATTGAATCTGTCTTGTAGCCAGTCAATCATATCAGGGCGACCTCACTTAGCATTTCAATAACATGGCCGATCATTGTTGTGGGATCTTTTTACTTTTTCATCTATTTATGTATGTTTCTGTGTCATGTCGTAAGTTCATCTTTAGTTTTTGTGTTTATATGTTACTAGCTTTTACCCGCGGCTTCGCTCGCGTTACAAAAGGATAAAAAGTAGTCTATGTGACACATACCAATACACACAGCGCCATCTATACCAATACTTTTATTTTCCCTCGGGAATATCAATTTTTCCGGGATAAAAAGTACCCTATTATTTAATCTGGACTTCTATCTTTACTTCTGCTAAAATTCAAAGCAATCGGCTTAGAAGTTACGGCGTGAAAGCGGAACAAACAAACATACAAACTCACTTTCCGATTTATAATATTAATAATTAATTATAGTAATGTTAGTAGAGACTTTGGTATAAGTAGTTGTATCTGTAAGTCGAACGTCTTTAAAGGAATTTCTATTTTGTTGTATAACTTTTTCCTGCAATATTGGTGCAAACAAATGGTGCTCATCGAATTATTCTTCATCTCGTGCATTACACTGTTCCTAGATCATGTATTGTGTCCTGTCACGTCTCTTGGAAATGCGTATAAAGTAATGTATTTTATTTCTTTTGTCCTTAAACTGTCAAACACCAAGCGGTCACCGGTGACCGCAACCTATTGTTCTATAATTGTGTCTATAATGACGTCTTTGTAGACACAATTATAGATTTTACAATTATATATATTATAGAGGTTGCGGTCACCGGTGACCGCTTGGTGTTTGACAGTTTAATTACTCTTCTACTTACAAGTAATGTTTCACGTCATTTCCCAGTTCTATTAATTATTAGTTTGTTAGCTTACACTTGTACCTACGTTCAACAATAATGATAAATATTTCATATCGAACAATAATATTGTTATGGATAACGTGCGATCATTAATTACAATTTTATTATTACAAAGATTACGCAGACTGATCTCATCCAGACGATTACGTCAATTTATTAATTTATGTATTTCTAAGACTGGAATTAATTTGTATTTGAGTAGCCGTTTTAATTAGCTGTAAACGAATTCTGTTCAGATTATAACTGTGCAATTAAATGATCATTAAATTATAGAGCAAAACGATAGTCTTGTTGGTTCAGTGCAACTGTCAAGTTAGGCAATGCATTATCGTTATTTTTGGTTTTTGGATTTCTGTATAAGTGTGTGTGCGCTGTAAGTCATTGTAACTAGATACTAATACTACTGGAAAATATTAATGTAATATGCATTTATATGGCTATAGGCTCACCCCCTATTACATGGGACTCATAACATAAATAATGAAAAGTGGGTGTTACATTGTACATTCTAAAGACACCCTAGTGACTTATACACATAATCTATACTAATATTATAAAGCTGAAGAGTTTGTTTTTTTTTTGTTTGAACGGGCTAATCTCCGAAACTACTGGTCCGATTTGAAAAAATCTTACTTTGTTGGATAAAACATTTATCGAGGAAGGCTATAGGCTATAAAACATCACGCTACGATTAATAGGCGCCGAGCAAAGCGAGTGAAACCGCGCGGAAGTAGCTAGTATACTATAAAGATGATCCCTAAGTTAAGACGGCAGATGTCTCACACCTATCTCAAAATCTAATTTCAAACACAACATAAAGGTTATAAAGCTAATTTAACAGATGTAGCACATCTACAAGGACCTTAACAAACTAGATGTTATCATAGTCCATGTATGGTGAAACTCGGTATCATTGCTTTTGCATCCATATAATATGGCAACTGATGAATACATGCATATCGATGACTTACAAACATGGTTCTAGTAGTTATCTATGAATTATATGAGTCATAGTTTTAATTTTAGAAAATGAATACAAAATGCCTCATTGGCCGAGTGGTCGCGAGGCAAGGGGTCTCGGGTTCGATTCCCGGGTCGGACTTAATAAATTAGGATCTAACAATGTTCCTTGTTAAACTATACGACGATGCTGATTGGCCATCATCTCACGTTGAGATGCGCCGTGATTGTCTTATTACGCAAACGTTGGCAAACGTTGTTTTGCCAAATAATTAATTAAATAATTTCTAAAATAGCTATTTAAAAATAAGGAATGATCGTAGAAGGGTGAAAATTGAGGATTGTATGTATTTTTGTATGTTGTATCATAAAAAAAATAGAAATTAAAAATTTTGTCTAAATAATAATAAATTTAGAGGTGGACTAACCCTAACATTTAGGGGGATAAAAAAAAGATGTTGGCCGATTCTCATAGATACCGGATAAGCACAAAAAATAGCCGTTTCGGAGGAGTATAGCAACGAAAACTGTGACACGAGAATTTTATATATTAGAAGAAGATTCCATTTATCGGCAACATTCATTTGGCGTGAAAAACTCTTTGTATTTTTTCTGTTAGAACATTATCCTACTATTTTCAAAAAACACTGACTGAATTTTCACCTTCTTTATTTCCAGAAAAACTTGCAAGTCATGTGGTTGCGACCGACTGAAGCACTCGGTGTACCACGAGGAGTTGGGGTCTGTCCGCGACCGGCTCGGGCTGAGGGAATCCAAGATCAACCACCACTCGTACGACAGCCCACCTGGACTTACTGCTAAGCAGGTGAGGACTCGTCTTCTACGACTTGCATTTTTTCTTCTTTTCTTTTTTTTTAAGTCGGTTAAAAAAGACTTAAGGTGCAGAATATTTTTTATCCCGAAAGTTTAATTTCTACACACAAACCTGCTAGGCGGACTATTTTTGCCTTTAATTACATCCAGTTCACGTATATAGAGTATAAATAGATGCTCGAACCGTCACCTGTCATGGTTCCATTATAAAATACATTTAACTACGTGTTCAATATTTCCTTCCCATTTTATAGAGGAAAGGTCAATTACCTGTTTTCGTATTATTATTGAATAGTATTCTTTTCAATGGATTGTTGTCTTTATTGTCAAATAATAAGGTTAAAAATCTTTAATAAGATTTCGATTGGTTGTACTTAGTCGCATGATGTTTTTATAAGGACTGTCTTCGATACTTAAAAAAGATTTTTAAAAATTATGCGTTGTTTAACATAAATAATAGATTGTTATTTTACTTTTCAGACCGAATTGTATTGGTCGTCGTTAGCAGAGCGGGCGCCGACCGGTCTAGGTGGCGCCACTGGGCCCGCAGCGTGGAGGGCCTGGCGAACTAGAGCATTAGCTTCTCAGTTACCGAAACAAGATCTCTCATTAGCACACTGCAGACATATCGATGAGAATCATCGCAAACAGTATGAAGACTTCGTCGCGGCTAGGAACGAAATTGCACTTGACATTGGTAAAATAAATTCAATTGTAGATTAGCGCCATCTAGTGGCTCGTAGCTGGATCAATAAATATTTGCTTTATGTAGGAAAATTTGTTTCAGGCGTTGCAAGTCAATATCACGGTGCATCCGTTGATTGTGCGGGGTGCAATAAACCTATTCGAAGTGGGAGTATCACCGTGCAGGCGCCGCGGATAGGTGAAGAAGTGAGTGTATTTTGTTGTAACGCCATCTATACTCAGCAAAGAAAAACAAACTAAACCATTGTTTACGTTAGTTCAGCTACTCGACCAGAGATGTCGGTACGTCTATGTCGAGGAATTTAGTTACATGAATGAGAAAAATAATTGTTTTGTTCTAGGCATATTTTCATCCAACATGCTTCTCATGTGCGGAATGTGAAGAATTACTTGTCGAACTAGCGTATTGTGCGTTAGACGGACGATTGTATTGCGTTCGCCATTATGCAGAGCGACTGAAGCCGAGGTGTCATGCCTGTGACGAGGTAAGTGCCAGTTTTAATCCAATCGTCTTATATATTTTTTACAATAAACTTACCTATTTATGTAACTAAATACATACAAAAACGTATTAAAATAAGTTCAAAAATTTGAGGCAGATTTTCTACAATGTATGAAACCTACTGATAACGTTCTATACATTAGAATAATTGATATATAAATTAACAAAAATATTTTATTTCTAAAGTAATAATTATTTACTTTAAATATAAATTACAATTGTGTTCTTTACAATTTTATTTTTAAAAACTTCCAAAAACTACGTGTAGGTGTCGCTCTAACAAAAATACACACTTCAAGACTGCAGTTCACCTTAAATTATTTGATTCTTTATTTTCAAAGTATCGTGATAGATCTGTTTACAATCAAAATGGCTATTTAACTGTTGACACACAATTATTCAAATGTTACGTAATCAAATGTCTAATCATGAAATAAATTACTTTACGTTACTTATCAATTTGGGGTCGTTCCAAAAACATCATTAGTTTCGATATTGCTAAAATGTTGCCGGTTAATTCTACTGTTGGATACGACGCAGTCGCTTTAATTGTTTTTATTGAAAGATTCGGTTACGAAAACTACTGTTTACTAACAAGGTACCTAAGTTTAATTTACAAATTACAATATTTTAAATTATAATAGTGTCTTACAAAAAAATTGATGATATAGACAGTTTCCATTATTATCCATTCGAAATAAGATCATAATAAAGAAGATACAGAAGACATACATTTCTTACACATTTACTGTCAGTAGAATCTTATTTATAGCTTCTAAAATGGCTTTAACAGATCAAATTGGAGCACTAATCATTTTATAAACCCCACTGTATCCCCATCTCAAAAGTAAATGACAAGACTCGCTCCAAATATTATTAATACCAGCAGTATTAATACTTAGTAGCAGTAACGATTAGTAGCGTCGTATTCCAAAGAGGTAACAACAAAACATGCCATGTGCACTATTCCTGTACGTCTTGCTATCTGACAGTTTGACATTTCAACGTGTTATGCAACTAGTATTTTATTATGGGTGTCCATGGGCGACGCTGATCGCTTACCATCAGGTGATCCGTCTGCACATTTACCTACTAATCCAGAAACAAAATTATGGACTGCGTTTTTTACTGGAGATTGTAAGACTTGATTTTTCTCTTTTCTGTTTCTCGGATCAAATGACCGCAAGTCGGAAGGTTGCGTTGAACAAAGCTTAATTAGAGATTTTAATCGTTTTAATAATGGCAAAATGTTGTATATGGTGCCTGGTGTAGACCCAGAGTCTCCTTCCATTGTGGGACTCAGCTCATTGTCTAAGCTAAAGAAAATTAGGTGCCAACATTTTTACAGTTGTATTATGCACTGTCCATAGTATCTAATATTAAACCTTTTTACTTCTCTAGAGAATAAAAGCCGTTACGTTTAGTAAATTACAGTTTATAGAGGTTCTAAAACTCGTACATAATGTGGTGCAGAAATCGTAAATTAATTGCAATGGCTCATGACCTACTGTAATTCTGTTTATTATTATCTTATTTACTTCAGACCATTACCTTTACGACGACATGCCATGCACTGACGCTCATACTACTGTAAACAAAACAATAACGGTAACTACCGCATCTAATGAAACATTCCTTGCCTTAGCACCGTATATAAGTGATACTGAAAATATTCATTATTTAGTCGTAAGAAAACTTGGACATATACTCTAAACAACATCAATACATAGTATAAAACAAAGTCGCTTTCGCTGTATGTCCGTATGTATGCTTAGATCTTTAAAACTACGCAACGGATTTTGATGCGGTTTTTTTTAATAGATAGAGTGATTCTTAAGTAAGGTTTGTATGTATAATACATGCATATTGCACCCGTGCGAAGCCGGGGCGGGTCACTAGTAAATTATAAAGTAATCGCCTTGAGCAAGTGAGGTGAATAAAGCTCAACAGTCGGACAGTGACAAGCTAATGTAAGAGCTTGAGAAAACCGAAGACGTTAAATTCCTAACTGCCACTTTCAAAGAAGGAAAAATCTTCAAGATCAGCGATTTCATATCTAGCAATTACGTTCGCGACCACTTGACCATTGAACCATTAAATAGCAATTCAACTCCCAAACATTACATTTCAAATCTCAAGCGTTAAACAAACACGAACAATTGCTTTTCTCCTTACGGAACAATAAATTCAGGATTCGAGATAATCTTAATGTTTCCTCTTCAAATAAAACGTGTAGGATGCAATGCAGTTTATATTTAACCAGTTACATTATAATGCATATCTGTGCCACGCTGTTGTGCAGTAATGACAACATTATTGATGGGACCAACTGTTCACATTCATTCATGTAAGCGAATATCATAGAGGAATTCTTTGTACTGGTTCGTATTAGTACTGTGGAGTTACTATAATCATTATTACATTTTCAAGAATGGAAGAAATAGTTCTTTTTCCGAAGGGAAGCCTGCATAAATGCAATCTTAGATTAAGGGTTACAATTTTTTCATCGTTATGATTCTTAGGAAATTAGAATGATGGAATAAATAAATAAATAAATAATAAATAAATCTTTATTGTCGCAAAAGTTATACAGTTCTTTGGGTGACTTATATCTAGACACAGGTTTAAAATGTAATGTGCTATAGGTACTGATGCTGTCTCCCAAACTAAGCGAAGCTTGTATTTTGGGTGGCAGTGTTCAGTTAAGTTCAGAATAAATACAATAGGACATTTTTCTTGTATTTTTAAAGTTACTCAACACAGTTGGCAGTTACAAATAGTAAAGGGCATACTTCACAAAACCTGTGACTGAAAGCAAATGAATACCACAGTTACCCTTGCGCCAAATATATTTCGAGAGCTATGCATCATGACTGGCCCGCTTGCTGCAATATTTTGACAGGTCTTAAACAAATAATATTATTGCTAAATACTAATAACAGTTAAAGCCGTCATTTAATCTTACACGCGCTCCCTAAACATTAGCGATTCTTGTTTACACCTTATTAAGCCCAGACTAATTCGCACCACCAAAGCTTCTCAATCGGTCAATAAACCAACGGAATGAAATATGTTTGGTATGTGGTTACAGAACAAAAATAAACTGTTAACTAGTTACACTGCTGAACATTGGTTTACACCTTACCACTTTAGTCAGTTGTTACACTCGCTACGGTTAGCGCCTTTTTCCACGCCCAAACTTTTTGGAGCGATAAAAACTTTCAGTCTTTTGTCTGTGATACATTCGACATTTAAAAAGTGTCATAAGGTGAGCTTCTTTTCTTTATCTGCTTTACGGACACGTTCATTTTAAGCATGTGTATTAAACCTTTTCGATAACCTAAATTAATTCACTCGAACCCATCAAACTAAATTACTGTACGCGTTACATAAAGTTTCCAATGTATCGTAATGGAGGCATCTGAAGTGGTGGCCTATATTTTGCAACGAACGAATTATTGCAAATGTTGCTACATCGTACTTATCACAAACATTTCTATCTAGTGCTTGGGAATTAGAAATTTAACTTTTGTGCACAATTGTTATGGCAAATTCTTTTGTTATAACTTACGCAATTAATATTGGAAAATGATGTGCAAAATCGCTGATAATGAAAAGGGCTTTTGATGTTTGTCCGTCTTTCCAACAAATTTTGACATTATACCTACAAGTTATTGACGTGGACGGCGACGCCGTGGTGCAGGTGCTGTTCCCGTCTATCGATCTTCCGAATACCGATCGATCTCTTTGAAGTGTCTGTCGTCCAAGCTTGTTTATAGTCGCAAGCTGATGTAATAAATATAATCGACGCGCACACACGACAAGGACCATCTCTTAACCGGACAGCGTTCGCCAACTGTGAACTCAATACTCTTTCGACAGCTACCGAGGACGTGTCGCTTCCAGTGAATTTAATTTTAATACCTTTGCCTCCAGTGTAATTAAAAAAATAATTTAAAAAGTCATATCGGTACGCGACGGTCGATCACTCGATCGAATACGAAATTCGAATTTACGCGCGTTTTATTTCGCGGCATTTTTTGTGTGTTCGGATACAGGCCGGTTGAGAAGACAACTTATTGTGAGTGGTTTGGATATTTGTATGGTATGATTATTTGTTGTTAACAAATAATTTCTTGACATTTTTTAGAAAAGAAAAATGTAGCCTTTTAATCAAGTTACATTTTATTTATTTCCAGAATAATGTGTATCCCAAAATAGGTACATTCTCTAAAGTGAAAAATATTTCAGATATTTATTGTTATATACTTTCCAAGAAAACGCTAACGGAAGTGTTAATATAATAGATCTACAAATCTGTCATCAATCGCGCTAATCGTATTAGAAAAGCTCTTTATAGTTCAGCTACTCGATAATAGATGGCGTAAGTAAAAAGTTTCTATTTATAAATAACTGAAAAGATTTGTTGTTACTTTATTTGCACTTTAAATAATTCGTGCAGATTTTTAGTCGATTTAAAATAAATTTTAAATTATCTAATTTCGTATAAAAGATACGTAGTTTCTTGCCATAGGTAATAAAAATAATATTTATGTTTTGTTCAGATAAAGAAAGCATTCCTCACCGTTACTCACCGACATTCTATTCTACAACAAATGGATTTTTTTAAGAATATTAAATTTAAAATTAATTTTCTGAACACTCCTTATCCTTTACTTTTGCATCCCACATAACATTATTTTTATGTCTGGGATAATTTTGTCTTTATTTCCAATACATAAACTTACCACAACTTCCATTTCCATTGTAAGTTAAAAATAACATCTAACTATATTTTAGTTTGCAATAAATCCGCTAGAGGCGCTGTCTCTAGGCCGAACAATCGTAGTTAGACCACGCATAAAAAATAGACTTCTATCTTATTTATTCGAAATAAGTCCATAAGTTCCAAAAAATAATAATATAAGGTGTTTTTAGAGACTATAGGAACACATTTTTTATAATGCTGAAGATTTTTATTAA